CATACCCATCCAAGCACATAAACTTACAATTAGATCACTTCTGCAAAACGACTGTCTCAAGCCCGAAGTTAGTTGTGGTTTTAGTTTTCGAATGCTAAGGCTGACTATGAAAATTTTCGACGACCAAGTACTATCACCTTTCATACTAGCTACACTTACCCGGTTTACATGCAAAACATATCTGTACCTACTTCTATGCATTCACTGTATCCGCCACTGTAGGATTACGGTAAAATTTTTAAGAGGATTTATGGTAAGGATAACCGAATTTTTTGTTACAAAAGACTCCGAAAAAGCTGAGAAATGTTACGAACTGAATGACTCGCTGACTCTGAGTATGAATTTGATCAACCGAGACATTAGTGCAAAAATAGGCTAGGCACACCTAAACAGCCATTCTCGCAATAATCATCGAAAATCTAAATCACCATCTTTAATGGTCGTCGAAATCGTAGAAGTATTGGATTAAATCAGTTTGCTTGAAATCCTCAGGTCAGCAAAGGACCGCAAAACCTCTAAAAAGTTCTTAGATAGATGCTTTGGAGATTACCGTAGGTGATCCACAATCGAGAATAGTGCTCAAACTTCCTATCGTACCTCATACATACTGTAGAGCAATCCGTACACTTTTTTGTGTTGTAAATCAGATAAAGACAGCCCTTCGAAGTGTTAGTAAACTAGTGTTCTGCGAAAGATTTTGACATGAGAAATTCATAAAGACAACAGTGAACCCATTGTTTGGAACATCCTGCATGTCTAAGAGCCTGCCTCTAATGAAAAAATCTAATTTATCAACATCAAACAGATATAACACTGAAATCGCGGGTATCTATCAAGCTTGGGTTATGTATGATCTTCAGAAACCTAATGCACCCTACTAATTACCGTAATCGTATATTTCAACAAAACGCATGAAAGCGCTAGGATAAGCGAGTAGACGGTAGCTCGAACGATCGTCGGAGTCCATCTAGAGTTTAGCTCCTTGACAAGTGCGTCCACATAAAAGAACGCACGATTTTGGCGGGAAATGAGAGAAGTCGAAGGCAGTGTCCAATCCAAATTCGTTATTACTGAGATTTTGAGTACCGTAGCGATGCCGAGGCTGCCAACCAAGTTACTACCCAAGTCTCGCTACAAAAGGTGCATTCCGAAGCGAGAAAACCGCTCCAGTAGGTGGATGCTGTTGAGGATGCCACGCCCTTCAAAGCGATAGGAAGTGGGCGCGGCGATCCCAGCGGCACCTACCTTCTAAAGCAATTTTCTCGCCTCAGACTACATGTTCCGCAGCAAGATTTGGGCAATAACTTAGTTGGGGGTTTCGCTATCGAACTGCTTCAAAATCTCATCAACTTCAAATTTGAGTAGACAGTGCCTCAAAAATTCCAAGGCTTACCTTCCGCTCCAGCTCTTCCTTTGACCCGTTATTATCTATGAGATGTGTGGCTAGCTCCATTTTCTTTTTTATAGGCATCTGAGAAGCGATTCGAGCGGCAGCATCTTCTCTACTCAGACCATCCCGTAACATTAGACGATTCATCTGCACTTCGTCATCGCTAAAGAAAAATGTGGGAATATCTGCAAAGAAGTCAGAATAGGCAGAAAACTTCTGCAGGAATTAACCTTCTATTTTCGTCTATCAAAAAGGGACTTACCACCATACAACGATTATTGTTCCCAGAATCTTCTGATATCCTGATTCAATCAGGAGTGGTGTGTCTAAGACGATTGTATGACTTCCAAAAAGGATATACTTCATGATTTGTAGAAACATTTCCCATCGAATAGCTGGATGAAGTACGCTATTCAGCTTACGACGTTTCTAGAACATTCAGATAAATTTTTATATATCCAGGAAACACAAGTTGTACCAACCTCTGCGTCTTTGAATACAACATCACCAAGTTTCGTACGATCGAGTAAACCAGTGTTGGGATCAAAAAATTCGGAACCAAACTCCTTGCGCAGTCTCACATAGGCAGAGTGTCCGGGCTGTACCACTAGAACAAATATTTTTATGTAGAGCCGCGCAAATGATTACACAACTCTTATCTCCAGACTTCAATACTATAATTTTCGGATCTCTATCTGTTCGCCTTGAATAACATTTTTGGCAGAATAAAATTTCATAGATTTTTTTCAAAAAATTCTGCATCACTCCCAGATGAGAGAAGAGTGGCGTGGTGGTATGAGCTCCGATGACCAGTCGGACCTTTGATTCCGCCCCGAGCCAAACAAGCCCTCTACCCCCGGGGCCTGTAGATTGGTGTCAAAATGATATGCGAGGATGAAACACTGACCAACAAGGAAACTCCGAGTAGTCGAATCGCCCCTTCCAAGTGTATTATCTACCTCCCAACATGGTTGCTACAAAGCTCGTTTTCAATAGCGAAACTGAGAACTATAACTGATGATAATATAATGCAACTGAATTCGCGCCTCCAAAATTCCAGAAGTCAGTCTGATCAAACCCAACTACGATAAGTGTTGTAAGTATTTACGGTCACTGGCTTCTTCTAAAACACCACATATTTCTGTAAACTGAATATCAACAGTATTTTCATATATAGTTTTTTTCATCCAATCAGAATCCGCAGTATTGTGAGAAAAAATAAACGTCATGCACCTGCTTTTAGTCAGGGCTTGGCACAGCTGGAATAGGGTGCACTATATATCGTCTGAAGAAGCAAGGAGTTAACTTCTTAGGGGCCCACGGAGAGGCCCAAAATAGTTCACAGAGATCAGAACTGAACATCACGTTCAAAATCACCGATATGGACAAGTCAGGATAGGTTCCACTTATGTCCTGACGCGTTCTCGCGCAGAGTGGGAATCCAAATCATGCTCCATGCAAACACATCTCCCTAGTTTACAGAAAAAATGCAATGATATGACACAAATTTGAGGTGCACTTGCGCGTCCGGGAGCTCGAAATGGCCAAAAATCTATGAGAACTTGAGTGAAAGGCGTGCTGAGCATTTTTTCCAAAGTTGGAAGGATTCCAGCTGGATGCGGCTGAGGTGGAACGACGATTTGTTCACATAATTTTTCATACCTTTTCAATAAAATGTATGGTTTGTGAAAGTGGTCGCATAAGCAAAAAAACGGTTTCATAATGCTTCAGGCTTTTTATAGCCCTTGGAAGACCTTCTTCCGCGGCGCAGTCTCCAGGCGTAAAGCGCGCCCCTATGCCAACCGATGCGCGAATCTTCGGTTT